TCTCTCATTGACAAGGTGAGCTGCAGCCAAGCCACCAGGACAAAAACAGTATTTGTCAAAAACTAATCTTATCCGGACACCGATTTTGGTCAGTTCCCCAAGCAGCTAAAAAATATCCTTAAATGAAATGATGGACATGACTGTGATACATCTGGTTTTCTAACTGAAGAGCAAAGGAGTAGGGTCAGCAACCGTTTCCAGGAAAGSCCATGCAATTACATTGATAGAGCCAGAAGAGACACCTGAAAGTACTTTTCTCCTATTTCCTATAACCTGTTCTGATTAAGGTTCTGAATGCTCTATTACATACAAGTGAGTCCAAAGTGAGTTTTGTGATTTAGACTCATTTAGATAAAAAGAACTCAATTTGTGCAATTCAATGCCCTTTTCCATTTATGGAAACTAAGCAGGCATAGTATGAGATGGAAGGTCTGAGTATAGATAACTAGATAAAAGACATGATAAGAAAAACAGTGAAGCAAGAGCTCACTTGTGTAGTTCCAGAAGTTGAAGGGATTTGTCTCATTTAGCTTTCCTTAAATGACCTGGAAGAGGATGCTGGGKGGCAAAATCTGCTGACAATGTACAGATATGCAATGGAGGGAAGAACCATGAAGAAAACTGCTCAAGGACCTCATGGCACTGAGTGACTGCACAGTCAAAAAGCAGGATTTGAAAAGAATTACAATACAGACTTGAAGGGAACTTCAAGATGCTTTTGTTGGTAAGTGGGTGAACAATTTTATTGCCACTTCTGCCCCCACCTGCAGCAAATGACAAACAAGAACATGTTTTGCTGCTTCCTTGACACAAGGACCTTAGAGAAGGACAGCAAGGCACTGTCACCTGTGCAGGGACAAAGAAAGCAGAGAATGAACACTTGGGGAGACTGACGGATGCCATTTGGCAGGATCACAACCAAGGGCAAAACACTGAGGGGTTTGAACACCTCTRCCATCTGTGTTTCCCTCAGCCAAGAAGGCAGAAAATGCCCTAAAAGCCACCTTTCTGTACCCACGCCCCGCACRTCCTGTCAGCTGCAGGAGGAACACGTTCCTGCTAGGAAAAATGGGAGTCCGGACTGCAGCCCCTCCACACCGCTCACCCAGGCTAGCAAAGGGACAGCAGCACAGGGACAGCAGCACAGCGACACCAGGAGCTCAGGGGGGGACAGCTGGGCGGAGCAGCCACCCAGGGCTCCCGCCCCCCCCCGGGGGTGGATCCTGCGGGAGCGAACGGGACGGGTGCGGAGAGCGGCTGCGGGTAAATCAACAACCCACGAACCCTCAAAAGAGATTAAAGTTCAGTTCTGTCCTCAAAAGAGCTCCGCGAGAACAATGAATCTGTTTCTGGAGGTGCTCGTGTTCTTCGTCACGCTCCTCTACTCCTACCTGGAGGCTTTTGTGAAGCTGTTCGTGCCTGTGAGGAGAAAGTCTCTTAGCGGGGAGCTGGTGCTCATCACGGGCGCTGGCCATGGCGTCGGCAGAGCSACCGCCTTGGAGTTCGCCAAGCGCCAGAGCAGGCTGGTTCTGTGGGACATCAATAAGGTAATGGCACACTCGTGTCCTCACTCCGGCAGCTCCGAGGCCACGGGAGATTTAAGGGCAKYYCCAGATTGCRCCCCSATCGCCTCCTTCCAGCCGCTCCCATCGCTCCCGCTCGCCCCTGTCTCTGGGATGCTGAGCGCCAGGAGAGGGTTTGGCCGCACTTGGAGCGGAGGATGTGGGGCTCTGGTCCCACTGTCACTCGGTGCTACTCGGGAGGGAGCAGGCAGCCCCCGGCAGAGCCCCTGCGAGAGGGAAAGAAGTGCTCAGGCAAGCTGCTGTTGGAACCGCTGCCTGGGCTGGCACAGCGCCCCACTGGCACAGCCTTCTGGCACCTGGGGACAAAGCAACAGCACAGTCACTTCTGCCCCGGCTTAGTGAGCTGATATCATGACACAGGGAAGCTTCTATTCCCTRCGTGTCAAGTGTCATTCTCTGAGGAAAGCCTGTCTGCATTGTGCACTGTTGTGGTGGGTTGACCTTGGCTGCACACCAGTTGTCCACGAAGCTGCTCTATTGCTCCCTCTTCTCAGATGGACTGGGGAAAAGAAATAACATGGAAAATGGTGACTCGTAGGTCGAGATAAAGCAGTTTGCTAAAGTAAAACTGAAAGTTCGTGCACCCAAGCAAAGAGAAAACATAGTTTTTATTCTCTACTTCCTATCAGCAAGTGATGCTGGCCCACGTGCTGGGAAACAATTGCTCCGGAAGGCAGACATTGTGAATAGCAAGAYGCCTGCCCTTTACTTTCTCCTTTTCTTAGCTTTTGTACCTGAGCTGTAATTGTATGACATGAAATATCCCTTTGGTCAGTTTTGCTCGGCTGTCCTAATTGCCTAACTGTGTCCCCTCCCAGGCCCTACTGATGGAACAGGGAATGTTGAGAACACAATGTTGATGCTGTGCCAGCACTGCTCAGCAGCAGCCAAAAACTTGGGTGTGTTATCAACGCCTTCCTAGCGACCAGTGCAAAGCAGAGCACTGCGAGGCTGCTCCTTCTCAGCCAGATGGAATRAAACTGTGAATGGGCACCTCTCTCCTCACACCCAGCCTGTGAATACAGAAGCACATAGAGCCACTCTCCATATCTCTGGGTGTCAGCCGGGCCTGTGTTGTACGAGCTCTGCTCACATTCACAGTGCTGCCTGCTGTGCTGTGATAGGCACCATGTGCCCTCTTGCTGCTGCTACGTGTGCCTTACCAAGCCAAACTCACTCTCGTTGCCACATTCTTAAGGCTGAGAGAATTGGGATTGTTCGGCCTGGAAAACAGATGGCTTTAGAGTGACCTAATTGTGGCCTTCCAGTATATGAAAGGGGCTTACAAAAAGATGGAGAGTATTTACAAGAGCATATAGTGGCAGGGCAGGGGTAAATGGTGTCAGACTGAAAGAGAGGGGGTTTAGATCAGATATTAGGAATAAATCCTGTACTGTAAGGATGGTGAGGTACTGAAAAAGGTTGCCCACAGAAGTTACAGATGCCCCATCCCTGTAACTGTTCCCAAGGCTGGATTGGATGGAGCTCTGAGCAACTTGGTCTGGTGTCCCTGCACATCGTATAGGGGGGTTGGAACTATATAATCTCTAAAGTCCCTTCCAACCCAAACCATGCCATGATTCTATGATTTCCTTTCTGGTAGTCACTCTACATGGGTCCAAATTTTACAGCTGGAATATCTATACTCTCAGTGACCCCACCTACAGCTCTTTCCTTTGGTTGACATGARMTGTTCTGGGGCTGGCAGTGGTTGCTCAATCCTGGGACACYTTCCTCCTCTGSCTGCTCTGCCATGGCCAGGGGACAGCTGTGCATGGGTGTGTTTCTCTTTGCCTCTTCCAGCACGGCGTTGAGGAGACGGCAGCAGAATGCCAGAAGCTGGGAGCCACTGTTCAAACCTTTGTGGTGGACTGCAGCAAACG